GAATCTTGCTGGCTGGGGTGATTGGACAGGTCCCGGACCGGATCGTCACCCTTTCTAGTTGTCGGTTACTTACTTCTCTTTCAAGCTAACATCGGTGTTGTTGATCATTGCGTGATCGTTGCAACTGATCGCTTTGATGGCTGTGCTGCGACTGGTTCCTCTGGTTGACTACTTGCTGGGGTGGTGATGAACGCTGACCTAGTTCTGGGTCCCGAGGTGGAGTCTAGTTCCAAGGAGGAGTTGGGACCTGAGACGGCACCGGTCCCCGAGGAGGTGACTGGCGCTCATGTTGCTAGTTCATGCTCTACTGGTTCTGGTGAAGTGGAGGGAGCTACTATTGGTACTGGTACTATTGATATTGTTGGAATTGTTGGAACTACTAGAACTAGAGTTGCATGATCCGGATGTTTGCACCAGCTCATGGAGCTACCGTGCTTCTACCCCAACAAGAACCATTGAGGGCTTGGCAGCTGGGAGAGTGGCGCTCCCATGAGGCATAGGTGCGTTGATTGACTGAGTAGCAAATGTCTGGCTTGGGACCGTTGATACCCCTGGAATGGTGAGGGGAATGGTAAACTGACCAATGGTACCTGAGGGGGTCTTAGGGTTTAGTGTAGGCTGATCTTGCCTCCCAGTAATGGGCATGGCGACGCTCTTGTTGATGCTTGAAGAGGCCACTAGTGATTTTTTTTTGCAAAAAAAAAATGGTGAGAACTTAGTTTTTTGTTGTGGTTCCCATAGATGGCGCCAATTGATGGTGCGCTATTTGGAAGCTCCTAGCTAGAGGGCAGCTCGGATGTCGGACTACTTTGCTGGCCAGTCGAACTGCAAGAAAGGGATGCTTAGAGGACCCGAGGTGGCTTACCCGGCATGGGCACTCCAATGCTTAAGTTAGTGATCTGTAGTGTGAACAGAAAGTTTGTATGCTATTAAGCTAGTGAACAAATAATCGTGTGTACCTTATGTCATCAAGGTAGGTGCCTTTATATAGGTGAGTTGTCGTGGTCCTCATGAAACACCTTTGAGATCTTCGGCCCGCGCTGTTAGGAGTCTGTTCCGCACTGGAGGGTGCACTTCATGCTAGCCAATAAGACTTATCGAGTCCGTTCGATTCAGGTGGGATGAGGATAAGACCTATAGACGTGTGGCATGATCCCAGAGAGCTCAGAGACAACTGGCTAGCTTCTAGAAGTAGGCTACACATCACTTTGGCAGGTTGGGCCATCGCAAGCTACTAGGACCTCGGTCCTGGCCGAGGTAACCAAGGTGACCTGACCTGCTAAGGTGGCAGGAAATGCCAAATCAATGTCCAATCAGCAGGTCACACCCACGTGTTTGCTCATTAGTAGGTCGGGCCAAATCACCCCTCATCACAAGGCTATAAAGGAATTCCATCTATTAACACAAATCCCTCTACCTAAACTTAAAAAACTCAAAAGAATAGAGAAGGAATGTATACAACTCTTCAGATTCTCTAATACTGCATTATATTTAATTAGTTACCGTGGAAAGCAGGTGCGGAACTATAATTTTTTCTTGAGGAGGGTCAAAACCTAGAAAATATGGATAGGGGGACTAAAAGTTAAGAAACATGGATAAGGGGGTCAAAATATAAGTGGAATTTAAATGGATTTTGTGGGAATTTTGAAGGCATATCCGCCCCTGGTGGAAAGCAAAGTAGATGGGAAACAAAACCCAAATCTAAGAGGTGTTATTTCTCACATGTCGATGTGAGTAGTTGTACCACCAGTATTCAAGCTCTTCATCTGGTATTGTGTGATGGCAAGGCTGTTGGAAGCACTCTTGAGCACCACCATTTCTTCCCATCAGTACGACAACACTTCCCGGGCTCAGAATCATGTTGCCGGAGAAACTAGAAGGAAAGAACCCCATTCTACTACAGACGTACAAGACAGGAAAAGAGAGAAATCAACAAAAGTAAATAGAATGATCTTTCATCAAATTGTGCGAATCAGATGGTTAGTTTATCAACACTTCGAGTTTTATTAAATCATTATCCCCAAATCATCAAAGGATAGTTCCATTCAATGCCCTTTAAAAATGGTAGGGCATGGGCAATTGGGCATGGAAGATCAATGAGATACCACCGAATCATCTAGAATATAATTGTTTTATTTGATTGTTTTTGGGGGAAAATGAAAAAAAAAAAAAACAAACAGAAAACCCAATTTTAGATATTGAGTGTTTAGTATGATTTATCAATTCAACTTGTGGTAGATTTTGCATGGAAATCAGAGTCCAGATTTTCTACTCAATTCATAATAGAGATGTGTGGCTTCAATTCATGGCGAGTAGAGAGTGGGTAGGAAATCCTGAGTGTGGAAATCACTGTTAGCATTTTACTTCAGAAGGAAGAGAAAGCTTATCTGTATTGGGTTATTTCAGTTGAATTGTATGTAAAGTAATTTATAAAAAGATAAAATGGGTATTTGCAAAAAATTGATATATCAATCTAATGTTTTCTGTCTAATTTAATGACGGAAGGGAGGTTTTTATCGAATTCTTTAAAAGTTAATATGCGCTGTGGTGGTAAGCAATGGATTAAGGTCAGCTGGAGGCCCCCGAGACGTTGAGGTTAAAATGAATTCTGATGCTTCCATGAACAATGTTGGTAGATGCAGACAATTGAATGTATTGCTAGAAATGAGCAAGGGAGACCGGGAGAGTGCTTAACATTTTGTCCGAGGACATTGGGTACGCCACAGTCGATAATGGGTTGTTTAGGCGGCATGGTTGATTTTGTTTATGTGCCACATCAGCAAAATGATTTTGTTTTTATTATATGACAATTATTTTCATTTTTAAAAATGAAACCATATCGTCAAACACCCCCTAAAGCCGAAGCATGTAGTTAAGGATGTCAATGAACCGAGTCCAATCCAAAATCATTTTGGATTCGACCAATCCGGTTCAAAATATTTATTAGATTGGACTGGACCTGGTCTGTCTATAATAAATTTATATTGGATTGGATTAAGCCAATATCTGGTGACCAGGTTTGGATTGAAACCAATCTAAATCAAAATAAATTTGAACAGATTGAACGGTTCAGACATTAAATTGGACCAGTCTAAGTTGGTCCAAAACATTCATTGGACTGGATTAGACCTGATCCATTTATAATGGACTTACATTGGACTGGATCGGATCAAATCCAGTCCAATTGACACCCCTACGTGGAGCTGCTTTCCATGATCATGAATTGGAGATCACATTGGCACCTCACAGTACATCCCAACCGTGTATTGAGAACATCTCCCAATGACAACTAGGGGAGATGTTTCCAATGCACACTGAGATATGCATGTGAGGCGATTGTGAGGAACGCTTTGTGGGGCGCAAATGTAAACTCTATGAATTGGCTCATGTATTTAGAGGTTGGAGCATTATGATGGAAGGTGACTCAAGGGTCGTGGTGTCTTCACTCGGAATTGGTTATGTGGGCACTTAACAGTGGGGTGAGCAGTGGATCCGAGGCTTAGAAAAGAAAGGCATGGAGCAAAGTCACCAATTATCTATTAAAAACAATTCATTAGTGCACAAATGTAAAGCCATTAACATTGTCTGGTGTAGGACACCATCATGGACCTGTCTAATCCTAAAGCCAACAAAGGATACAATGAATATATTGAGGCTTTCCTTCAATTTACCTTTCTCTTTTTTCTATTCTTTTAGAATTTTCATTAACAAAAAATAACTATCTAAAGCCATCATACATCTCTCCAGAATCAGTCTTTTTACTGAGAACCTGAGGTATGATGTCATCGAATCTTCTTTCAATGCTATATTTTCTGATCACTTAAGTCTATACATATGATTACCTTGCTTGAAACATCCAAACTTCCTAACACTGCAACCTTGTCCCTCTTATGCAACTGCCAACCAAAATGATCCTTCTCCAGGTGTTAAAATCTATGCAAGTGAATAAAGGGAAACAGGAAGGAGTAAATATCCATGCAAGTGTTCTTCCCCATCACTAATATCCACCAACCTTTTCCAGTCATATATATACACCATTGAAGACAAAAGAAAAAGAAAAAAGAGTTGAATAAAACCAGAAAATTTTTTGAAGTTTTACCAATAAATAAGATTACCTGATTTGAAAAATTTACATTACATCAGGCCTGGGCTTCTGGGCCAGGCCTATTCAAATTTTAACAAAATCCCAACCTGAGCCCGCCCAAGTTGCAACAATACTGATATGCTCATAGATTGTCACTTGTCACAACAAAGAGAAACGTATCCATTGTGTTCAAAACATTTATTTCTGGCAGACAGGCATATAAAACCATGCAACATGAACACCACAAGAACACTGGACAAGGTTCAGAGTAGGAATTGACTCTGAAAATAGAAGTGTCTCTCATGGACACAGTCATCCATTTCGAACTATCCATGCAAAATAGATAAAATAGGGCACCTACTAACAAGGCTAGACCCAATGTATCCAGAACCCATTATATTACTGGTTGGGATCTGAAATGGTTCCAGATCCAATCAACTAGGTCCAGTCTCTCTGATAGTCAAATAGTAGGTTTTAGTTGGTGTCAGATCAATGCATCTCAACTCCATTATATTACTAGTTGGGATCTGAAACGGTTCCAGAACCAACAAGGTCCAATCAGTTTGATGGTCAAACAGTAGGTCTAGCAATGGCTAATCTTCTATAATAGGGGGCCAAAACTGAGCCAATTATTAAATCTTCAGGCAAAACTCGGATTACTAAAGTGGATCAGATGGTTAAGTAGTCAGAAGCCACTGACAATCTGAACTACAAAATACACCCATACAATTGTTACATCATACCTTAAGTTGTTAACTCCAGGATCACTGTTGGAAGCAACACATTTTGACAATAGACATTAAAAGATGCTAATGTTATCATGCTATATCCAGTAAACAGAAGCAACTGAATACTGGATTCATTCCAATGATCCATATCATCATTTTCAATACTATCACATGGTTATAACAAAAAATAACAGCAAAAGATCAGCGTAAGCCAAGCCTTGGTATGTTCATGTAGTACTTATTAGAAAGGCATGTACAAATAAAGCTCCTGTTGATCTATGTTTTTAGAAAGAACTACCTTTCTTGAACAGCTTTGCACTATATGAGTTAAACAAGGAAATCCAGTTACAAACACAAATAATTATACATGAAAACCATAAAATGGATTAAAGACAAGTGATAGAAGGACAATGTTGCACAAACAATTACATGTCAATAAATTGTCTGGTTGTATCCTGAGCTTTCATCATATTTGATAGGTATCCCAATCAAACCTGGGCTGTGAGAAAACCTCATAATCAGTAGGCCCATCCACAACACTATCAACAGTCTGTATGCCTTCCAACAGTGATGGTTGAAATCCATTGTTCTTTGAGGGCAACAATTTATACAACAATAGCAAACCCAATGTGAATATTGCCTGCAGTTTAGTAGAATCTCCTTGAACTGAAAAGAACAGAAGCATTGAAAGAAGGAATAAGTCTACACAGAAACGCATGATACACAATACACTATCCATCAGCTTCCCATCATTGCCTGCAGGGAATCCACGGACTCTGTACACGAATAGAAAGTTATATTTGTCAACCACGTATCTATACCCAAAATAAACTGTTCCAACAGGGACAACGAGCGGGGAAAATGCTGAATAGATCATGGTGAGAGCAAATATAGTCAGATTAAATGCATAATACTGGGCAAAATCAAAATTTTGTTTTGGAACAGGTGAGCTTCTGTTGATTGGATAAACAGAAAGATCCTGACCCTGTAGATCAATTCCATTCAATCGAGCAACATGTGGAATGCCATTACTGTGGATGGAAGCATCAAACTCCCTTTCAGACACCAGAGGCATCCGAAGGCTATCTATTTCCTGGTTTTCTAACGAGTAATCTTCATTTTGTTCTGGAACCAACTGGAGCATGTCATTCTTCCGAAACCTCTGCAACTTTTTTTTAATCCAGGGGACGGGAGCCAAAAGATCATATGATATACCCAAGAATGTGCTTGTGATGAGAAATGCAAGAGAAGAAAGACATGATCTGGACAAGAACGATGCACTCATATACTGCTCAATCTTTTTGCAATCTTCTCCATCCAAATAACACCGACCCATCCGCAGGATTGCACTCTCCAGAGATGATTCAACTAGAGCCCTCAGAAGGATAAGATTTACCAGGAAGAAACAAACCATCTTCAAAAGTGCAGCACGTTGCTCCCCAGAGACAGTCAGATGCCGTTCAAACTTGCACATATAAGAAAGAACTGATGGGATCACTATATACATGCTGACAAATATAAGAACATTAGGCAGGAATTGAAGAATTACAGTTGCAGCCCAGCTTGAGCTCTGGACCCAAGCCAGCCACATTTGTGCATTATCCATTGCTTCTGCATTGATTATACGTCCAGCACTCTTTAAAGCACTAATGACAGCAAGGGGAGAACTACAAAACAACAACATCAACAGAAGGCACGTGTTCACGAAAACTCTACGCAGTTTCAATGAGATCTTTGTTGAGCCCAAGTTGTTCCAGTAAATGTCAGTGGCTGGTGGGGCTCGCTCTACTTTCCAGTGGCTCCTACCTAGTCGCAGCTCCATGACAGAGAAGAACTTCCCAATTGGCCTCTTCTTTTCAGTACGAAAATCTTGCACTGCCTTATTAGCTGTGTAGACATCCTTAAATATCACAAATGCAATTCCAGCACCTTGTGCTTGGCCTTCTTTGTAGGCAACCAATTCAGTCTCTAGTTTAGCTCTCAAATCTTGTAACCTCTTCAACCTATCTTCGTCTGTAAAACCCAACCGAGAAACAACCTCAGCCCAGAGATCCTTTAATCTCCTCCTAAGAAAATGGAACCAATTCCAAAATCCCTCAGAGGAAGCTCCCCCAGGTTCGCAATTCTCACCCTCGTCAGATAGAACTTGAGAGTCTATACGAGCCACCAACCAAGAAATACCATTGCGAACCTTCACCAGTTCTGTAACCAAATCATCCAAAGCACACAAATCCATCGGGACAACAACCCTATAAACCTTGCCAGGATACCTATGTTGGAAATATTCCTCCAATGCAGTCCTATCTGCCGCTAGTGTCTTGGGGATCCCCTGAATCATGATTGTAAAGATCGCAACGGAGTTTGCATTGGGATTACTAGGGTTCCCATTACCGTCCCTAAACCTAGTATATCTAAGCCTTTCCTCAATCATGGAAATGCCAAAATGAAGCAAACCAACTACGACAGTCACAAAAAGAAAATGAATCCATAACAAAGGCGAACCTTTTTCAATGTGAATGATGGTGGTCTTGGAAAATTGATCGGCCATCGCTGCAGTCCCAGCATAAAGATTGACAGGAAGAATGACAGAGATGGCGAAGACCGCGATCGACAAAAGGACGGCGCAGCTTCCACCTTCGATAAGGAGGAACTGAGCGGCGTCGGCACCACAGTGGCGGGCGATCTCCCGGCCGGTGGCGTGCCAGACGGCAAGGAGCTTCGTGATTAGGGCAGCGGGGCCGGGCATCCGACGGTGATCGCTTCGGAGCTTGACAAATAGAAAGATAAAGACGCAACAAAATGCGCCGATGGCTGAAATGTTTAAGAGGTACTGAATGTTTCCGTACCACGCCATTACAAATTCACCATCATCGTCACCGGAACTAGAAGGGGGAAGAGAGAAAGCGTAATCCACGGTGGGTGAAGCGGGGGAAGACGCCATGGTCAATACTAAAGAAGGTTTCATTGGTTTAGACGGACCAGTAAAGGAGGAGGCGGAAAACCAAGAAGCACCCAATATTTAGTTTTAGGTTTTCTTCCTCGTCGATTGAAATGGATGGGATGATAAAAGTATGGGTTTTCTTCATCTGGAGCAAAACCCTAAAAGATGAACAAAAATTGAGTTAAGAATTTTGCTGGTCGGAATGCATAGTCGCGGTATTGCAAATAGCAACAGAGAGAGAGAGAGAGAGAGAGAGAGAGAGGACGTGCCTTCGGGGTCTGAATCGAATGGAGAGCAAAACACGTCGTCTAGTTCAACTCGGGCATCTCTTGTTTTCGTGTAGAAAGTAGAAATCCAAAAGCGTACGCCGAGGAGTTGGAACTTGGAAGTCAGCCCGGAATTGAGACTGGGCCTGGGCCCAGGTTAAGCCTATTATTCTAATTGTAACTTATACGCCTAGTCGAGCTAGGCCCACGATCATCCGTTTGGGCTGCAAGTTGTGTCCATTTGAAGTCCGGAACTGCTGACCACAACACATTTGCTGGCCACATTCACTCAGCTGCACATATGAAACATCGGTTGTATTGTGGTTATTGATATTGATATTCTCAATGTGCGGCTGGATGAGTGTGGCCAGCAATGTATTGTGGTCAGCAGATCCAAATTCATTCATTTGTCTGTATTCAATTTTGAATCAGACTAAATTCACCTGAATTTGATCTATTTATAATTGAGCTGAATATGGATAAATATCCCAATTTGCTAATCTGGGGGCATTTGGTAAGTTTTTTCGTCTGGGTTTTTTTCGAGCTTTTCAAAGTTTGGAAGACCAAATTTTGGTTTGGCAATGAAAGACAAGAAGCTAAAAAGATCTACATCCTAAAAAGTTCATAAAAGCCCAAAGTAGTAAAAAATCTAGAACCTTCAAATGAAGCTTATCTGCAGCTAAAATCTTTCGCTTAATAGATTTGTAGATCATAGTAGACTAGGATACTTACCAAACAGTATATATTTAAAGACAAGATTAAAGGACCTCAAAAGCTCATTACATCTTTTGACCATCTAGGTTGTCGGAAGATCTTCCTTAAAAAACTTGCTGAATGGTACATAATCTAAAGATATTTACTAAATAATTATGGGTTTAAGTCTCATAAAAGGAATTTTGAAATTATTTTATTTATGATTAGAAGTATCAATTGACCTCATAAATAATAGTCAAACCAATCCCGGTCCTAAATGTATAGGCTTTTTCAAGTTATTTTAGCCCATGAATGGTATCATTTAAAATAAGTACTTATTCAAATAAATACTTAAAATAAGTAGTGGGACCACACAATAAGTAGAAAATAAGCACTTATTCCTGTTTAGCAAAATAAAGGAATAAGTTCTTATTTCGAAAATAAGTACTAAAAAAATAAACAACCTTTGAGCTGCTTATTTTAAGTGCTTATTTGTTTTTCTTGATTTTTTTTTAAGTTTTTTTTTGCACTATACATTGAGTAATATGCATTAGACGAATAACTTTATGATGTTCTTGCATAATATAGTGACAAATATGCACTATCCTTTTTTTTAATTTTTTGGAACAATATGTAATTTCTGAATTTTTATTGTTGTTGTTATTATTATTTTATTTTTTAGGCGTCCATGTGTGTTTTGCTAGTTGGTATGATTACATTGGATTTGATGTATATGTCCAAGTGACGAGTTCACATCTCCGCCCCACAGTACATCCCCTCCGTGTATTGGGAACATCTCCTGATGATAATACAAGAACCGATGATATCATCATCGGGAGATGCTCTCAATACACAGCGGGGATGTGCTGTGGGGCGGGGCATTGTGGGGCGGAGATGTGATCTCCCAAGTGACATGCGATTTCAAATGTCTAAGTGAAAACAAAGATTTGGAAGCACAATTATAATAGTTCTTCCTAAAGTAGTTTTGTGAAAGTTGCTTTTTTGAAAGTAGTTTAGGTCAACAGATATTTCTTTATGCAATTGCTTCGTAGAAGTTGCTTTTTGAAAATACTTTTTAAATGTACTTTCAAGAAATTACTCCTTAAAAGTACTTCTGAAAATCAATTATTGCAATTACATCTTTGTAAAAGTACTTTTTGAAAGTTATTTCAGTGTATTTTTTTTTTAAAGTACTTCTATGGACTTTCTTTTTTAGAGAGTAATTCATGAAATTGCTTCTTGAAAGTATTCTTTATACGTATTATATATTAGTTTTAATATTATTTTGTTATTTATTAATATATTATTATTTTAATATTAGAATTTTTATATTATTATTATTATTATTATTATTGTAATTTTTATTATTATTGTCGGTATTATTAGTGCTATTATTATAGTAATAATACCACGTGTGTTCCACATGGGCCACGTTTAATTTCACATGCATTACATGTGGGCTGATGCGCGTGTTGAAGGAATAATGTGGTAATTTCCTTGAAAACAAATAATATATTATTAAAAAACCAACATTTATATTGATTTATAAAATAGAGATTAAAAATGTTATTTCCGCAAAATTTATACAAATGAGTTGTCAAACATCCTCTCCCTAATAAGTGTAAGTGTTTTGACAAAAGAATTATCAAACAGTAATAAATAATTAAAAATAAATAGTTGTTTCTCAAATCACTTATTCGCCAAAATAAGCTTAACCTAATATGTCATTATGTCAATCAGGCTTATTGAGTTTGGAAAAGGATGATCAACAACTGGGCTGGGCTGAGCCTGTTCTTCACCCCCATGTTTGATATTGTTTAGGGACTAAGGAGGCCGGGTTTTTTGGGCATATGGTTTTAACTATGGGACTATGGTAGGCTCCGCCGGCTTTATGCGTACGCTTTTATGCGCCCAGGATGTCTAGACTTGTAATTTTTCGAGCTACACAGGCCAAGGGCTGATTGGACTTGATCAACCCAAGGATTACATAGGGTTCATTTGGTAAGTTTTTTTGAGAAGATCTTCTCGTAATTTTGACGGTCAAAAGATGTATTGAACTTTTGTACGAAGATTTGAATAGCTCAATACTAGTTTGGTAGATATACATCTTTTCGTGCATCTTTTTGTCTTTTTCCGTATGAGAATAACACGCGAAAGATGTAAAAATGCGAAAAGCTTTATTTGGAGCTTCTCGAAATCAGTCCAAAATGGGTTTCTCACAACTTTTTGGTGGTTCGACTTTTGGCGACTAGATTTTCCACGAATCAAACGGGAATAAACCAAAAATCGATCTGCCCGACTTGTAAATAACCAAAAGACCGCATGGAAAGACACGCCAAACGGACCCTATAATTAATTCAGGTCTTAATAATGCTGAACAGGCAAAATCAGTGCCAAAGACTGACATATGCTCTTCTAACTGAAAAACCCATAGGGTAATTTTACAATTAACTATGCCACGTGGCAACGTGTGGATCCAAAACCTGAGTGAACGTAATGCTGTGTTTGGTTGAAGTGCAATTTTATTTGCACTAGTACAAGTGCATGAGAGTGCAAATAAAAAAAAGTGAAAAATTCTTGTTTAATTTTGTTTTGGATTTTATTTTATTCTGCTTCATGTCTTAATTTACTCCTTTTGTGCTGCAATCAAACAAGATAAACTAAAATTTGAGACAAAAATATGTTAGAATTTACACTAAAAATCATTTGCACTGCTACAGTTTTGCATAAGTGTAAATTTATTTACATTGCAACCAAACACAGCCTAAGAAATCTTCCACATGACTGAATTTGGAAGGAATACAGATACAAATACAAGATCTAAAAATACAATATACAAGGTTTGAACAAAAAAAAGTTGATTTGTGTTTGGGGTATAATTGACTAAGCCAAATAAAGCCAATATCAGCTTATTAAGGGGAGTTCATTTGTTAATGGCTTGAAATAAAAAAAAAAACATTATCCAAGGGTGTAAAACAAGGGATTGACCATGAACAAAATTGTGTTTTACTTTATGCTATGTTTGGTTTGAAGGAAAAGATAAGAAAATCTATACAAAGTTTATATAGGTTTTCCTGTCTTTCCCTTCATTTCCCTACTTTTTCCTTCAAACCAAACACAGGATTAATTTTTTAATAGATTGAGTTTGTTTATCCTTACATATTATGTAGAAGAGCAATAAATAGATCGATCATCTTAGTTATTAATTTTTATTCCTTATCATCATCATTATTCATGCCTTGTCTCCTATGGAGTTGACTATATGAATCCTATTTAGCCAATCCACTCTAGTCTTAAGAAATTTAAACTCATTAAAAACTTTTTTTTTTAATTTTGCCTTTCTCTTAGTGGAACTTAACTATTTGTGTCAATGGTCATTTTTGAAGGAGTTTTTCTTTTTACCTTTTGCCAATCCATTCTATTCTTAAGTTGTTCGTGCTTATTACAAATTAATATTTCTTTTTTCATTTTCCTTTCTCTTAGGCTGTGTTTGGTTGCGATGCAAATAAATTTGCACTGATGCAAAATCATGGTAGTGCAAATGATTTAAGTATAAATTCCGACCTATTTTTGTTTCAAATTTTAGCTTTTTTTTTGTTTTATTACAATACAAATGAAGTAAATTAATACATGAAATAGAATAAAATAAAATCCAAAACAAAATTAAACAAGAATTTGCATTTTTTTACATTTGCATTCCCATGCATTTGTACTAGTGCATATAAAATTGCACTGCAACCAAACATAGTGGAACTTACCTATTTATGTTAATGGATCAGCTATACTAAAAACAACCAAGGAACTTGAACCCAACCCAGACTGATTGATCAAGAGTCATTACGTGGGCATAGTAATTCATGTCATTGTCTTTCTACCCCACGAATTACCTAAGATCTAGATGTAATATGCATTACAGAGGTTGATAATGGCGATGGTTAGGGCATATGACTAAGCAAAGATCCATGTCCATAATACCAATATTGTTCTTTGTTCAAATTGAAGCATCTTTTAAAAGGTTGTCGAGGGAGGCGAAAGAAAAATAAAGGCTTGACGTCAGTAGCCTCAGATTCCATCATCATGACTTCTTTTTTTTGGGGGRGGGGGGGGGGGGTATTTGGTGATATGCACCACATAACTTTTATTGGGATTGTGTCTTATTTTACAACTACTAGATTAATTTTAATCTAACGGTTGGTGTGGTCCCTCTTTAGGTTAAAGAGGTTTTACATATAAAAGATTTCTTTTGTATGTAGGGTTAAGGTCTTTTGGGAGAAAAGGTATGAGAAAAAAAACATAGAGTGCTCTTAGTGTGAGAGTGGGTTTTTTCTCTTGTTTTTGTTCTTCGGGTTGAGAGGAAAGAGAGAATGGGTGTAC